CCTCCTTCTCTCTCCCCTCCCTCCTCCCCCCCCCCCCACCCTCCCCCCCTAACCCCACACTATGGCAGAGGTCAGCAGCATGGCTGTGTGCACCGAGCTCGCAGGCGGCACGGCAGCCGGAGCCGGCGGCAGCAATGGGAGCAGACCGCGAGGCAAGCGGCGGTATCCGTTCGGAGGCTTCTCGCCGCGGGCAGCCAAGGTGACCAAGGTTGACACCGAGACCGTGGCTGAGAGGACCATGGAGCGTATGCGCCTCGGTGGCCATCTGCAGTCTCTGGACCACTCGCAGCCAGGCCTCCCGCAGCCGTTCCGCGTCCGGAACCTCATCACCAAGCGCATGGCTGCCCCGTTTGTCATTCCCAGTCATCACCGCGCAGCCGGTTCGTTTGGATCGAGCCTGCCGGCTCATGCTGAGCGTCCGCTGGCCTCGTCTGCGCACTCATCGTCGCTGTTTGGGTCGCCGGGCTCGCTCTCGTCGTCGTCGGCGTCGTCGTCGTCATCTTTGTTGCATGGCCAGCACGGCGGCGAAGCTGAGGCTGGCCCGTCGGCCTCGGCCTCGGCCTCCGCGTACACGCCGACGTTGTATCAGATGTTTGGCGTCGAGCCGCGGGCCGGGGCTGCCGCCGCGCTTGGGCGCGGCTGCGGCGACGATGGCGGCCTGGCTGAGATGGAGGGCGTGTCGGCGCAGGTTGCGTGCTACATCTGCGAGAAGACCGAGTCTGCCGTGGGGTGTGCCCGCTGCGGGTATGCGGTCTGCCCGGCCTGCATGCGGCAGTGCGATCTGTGCGCTGACTCGTTCTGCGACGTCTGCGTCATTGTCAACTACGACCAGCGCTACGACCGCATCTTCTGCCTCTCGTGCTCGGACGAGAGCGCCGCGGCGTCAGCATCGGCCTCAGTCGGCCCGCTCCGGCTTCCGCACGAGTTTACCCCGGTGTCGTCGGCTCCGCCGCGTGCGCTGCGCTCCTCGCCGCCACAGGTCTCGCTGGACAACTACTTTGGCCACGCATCGTAAACTCTACCACCCGGGGCATGGCGCTCTCTCTTCAGGCTTGTCATGTATTGATTCCCGATCTGCTTCCACAGGGGGGGGGGGTGGGAGGGGGCAAAGTCCGTTTCTACAGCAGCAGGAAGCAGACGCACGAGGGCAGGGGCGAGGGTGGTAGCTAGGTAAGCGCTGCGCGTGTGCGCGATACGACGCCGATTGAGGCCGGGGATGAGGCGGCGGGCTGCGAGGCGGCAGAAGGTACTACGCCTTCCGGCGGCGGCGAGAAGAGCTAGCAGCATCGACGCCCTCAGGCTTCTCCATGGCGAGGGAGATGAAGAGGGTGTTGATACGGTCGACGTGCTTGAGATGAGCTGTGAGCGAGGAACGGAACTTGATGACCGACACGTTGTCGGTGACCTTGAGCTCGACAGCGCCCTCGCCGTCCTTTTTGGTGTGCTTGAGCACGTAGCGGGTCTGTAGCCATTGTTGCGCGTGAGTGGAGGGGCTGTGCTTGCCGTGGTTGGTGGTGTGTGGGGTGGGAGGAGGGGTGTGTGTGGTGGGGGGGGAGGGGGGCGATCCCGGCGGGGTTGGCGGGGGGTATGGGAAAGGCGTCTGTGTGGGCAGAGGGAGGGGTGTAGGGTATGGTGGAGATGGGCATGGGCGTGTGTACGTACACTACTCGGGGCAGCGTGGTACATGTCCTCGGCCGCCTCGTAGAACTCGTTGAACTTGTCGTACACAATCATGGCTTGTGGAGAGCAGTGTGAGTGTGAGAGGGGGGGAAGGGAGGGGAGGGGAGGGAGGGGAAATGGGGGAGGAGAGAGGAGGGGATTGGGCGAGGGAGGGGGGGGGGGGGGGGGATACCATTGGATGGCTATTGCTTAACCATAGGATGCGGATGGATGGCTGTTATCGGTGGCCGATGGATGGCCCTGGCCGGCACTGAAGTACCGTAGCCCTCGGCGGCCATGTCATTGCTCTATGCTCAATCTGATCGTTTGGTCTTCGCTGACGGCTCACATTGGCCACCGCTCTCACCTCCCCTCTTTCCATACCACCGGCACTACCACCGCCAATGCCACGACGGCGATGGGGTGAGCCCGCAGACGGAACCGAGCAGGGTGCAGCAGGCGTGTCGGTCACAGGCCGCATCCATGCGCACCCGTCGCCGCCTCAGGCGCCCAGGCCGCCGGCCGCGTCGTCGGCTCGGCACGGCCACAGCCACCAACAACGGTCCTCCCGGCGGAACCAGCACCACGCCGCATCGTCGGGCCATCCGGGCGCAGACGCCACACCTGGCGGGCAACGAGCAGCGGGCGGTGACCAGGTCCTCATTCCGGCGCCGCGGAAGCACAGATCAAAGTCGGGCGTACCCAACTCGGGCAAATCGCCCGGGCAGAGTCCGCGGACAAGGCGGGTGGCGGCGGTGAGGCGGAACACCCGCGGTTCGGGCGGCAAGGCGCGCGCAGGCCAGAGAGAGCCAAGGGCGCCGGCGCCGAGGGCGCGCGGCAGAGTTGGCGGCGGGAGCGCGCGGGCGCACGGCGGCGATGACACTGCCTATTACGCCTTTTACAAGAAGCAGCTGCAGAACTCGCTCTCTGGAAGCGGGGCGATGGCCGGCGGCGGTGGGGCAAATA